GAGTATATAAGTCTGATGTATACAGTAAAAACAAAAGTAGTCGCAAGACTGAATCCTGAGGAACACCGAATTTTATTTGAATTGAAGTGGACATCAAAAATCCCATGCAGTCTTTTAGTTGCAAATCTGGTATTTAAGTTGTTTAGTTATAACTAATAACTAAAGTTAATGTTAAATAAGTTTATATTTACATGTAGTAATTAAATTTAAATTTGTCACTAGATGATCTGGTTTAACCAGAAGATATTCTTAACTGTGACTTATTTCTGTAGAACTATCACTGTCCTCTACTACTATTTTCTGTCATTGTTTTTAGTCACTATATTCAGTCAATATATTTAGTAGCTATATTCAGTGTATTAACCCCCGTATGCACCGTACACGTTTAATCCAAATCAAGCGTTTAATCGAGTTTAGTACCATAACTAAATATGGTACTAAACGCGATTAGACCCTTGATCTGGATTAAACGTGTACGGTGCATACGCGCGTAAGTCACTATATTAAGTCACTGTATTAAGTCACTATCTCTAATCACTGTATTTAGTCACTGTATTTAGTCACTGTATTTAGTCACTGTATTTAGTCACTGTATTTAGTCACTGTATTTAGTCACTGTATTTAGTCACTGTATTTAGTCACTTTATTTAGTCACTGTATTTAGTCACTGTATTTAGTCACTGTATTTAGTCACTGTATTTAGTCACTGTATTTAGTCACTGTATTTAGTCACTGTATTTAGCCACTGTATTTAGTCACTGTATTTAGTCACTGTATTTAGTCACTGTATTTAGTCACTGTATTTAGTCACTGTATTTAGTCACTGTATTTAGTCACTGTATTTAGTCACTGTATTTAGTCACTGTATTTAGTCACTGTATTTAGTCATTTCAGTTACTGTATTCAGTAACTGTATTCATTTACTGTATTTATTGTATTCAGTAACATTATGCATACATTGTATTCACTTACTGCATTCAGTCAATGACTTCTCTTACTATATTATGTAACTTTATTTTTTACTATGTCACTCTTTTCTGTTGAGGTACGTTTACATCTGACATTTTTTGCATGAATTTTATGTCTGACAGTTGTTTGGTATAGTGTAAACACTAAAACATATATCTATGAGAGACATTTTTGTGTGTTAACACTGGACTAAACAACTGTCAGACATAAATCTCATGCAATAAATGTCAGATGTAAACGTATCTTTATTCTCTTGTTACTCTCCTTTCACTGTCCTCTATCACTCCATCACTGCCTGCTGACATTCTCTGTCATTGGTCATGGTCGTCTGTCATCGCTCTCTATCATTGCTCTCTGTCACTGTCAACTTTGTTATTTGTTAATGATACGATAAGGCCAGAAGCTACATCTTATATTTTTTACTCAGCATCTTTAATAACATGTGCCGTAGATGAAGATAACTTTGACCAACTTTGATAAATAAAAATTCTTTTAATGCTTCCTCTTACAAAATGAATATTGAATGTCCAATTTCTTTGCTTACCCCCCCCCCCCCCCCCTCCCCCCCGAACATCTTAACTGGTAGTTCAAATTGAATACCGTTGACCTCGTTTGAATTATTCATTAATAAAGATACAAATATGTTCATTTCCTTTTGATAACAACATGTATACAATAATCTTCGGTAAATATTCGTTAAATCTTGTTCGGTAATGCTACTATGCATGTTAACTTGTAAATGACAGTTCAAGTTAAATAACTTTTGTCTCATTTGAATCAGTCCAATAATATCGAATATATTCATTAATACCCTTTTGGTAATGCTACTGAGCAACGTTTTTCTCTTTAAAGTTAATTTACATCACGTCACCTTCATAGTGTTGTTTGTCTTGTTTGTATCTAACTCATATTAGTGGATATATTCGTAATTATCATTTTGGTAATACTACTACACCTGATTTTTCTCATCAACGGTAATCTGTATCGTACCTCCTTTATAGTACCATTTGTCCTGTTTAAATAGGACTAATAATAACAAAAATAATAACAAATTTCCTTTTGGCATTGCCACTGCCTTATTGTACGTTAACGTGTCTTCTTTATATTGCTGTTTGTTTCATTAGATTTGGTCTAAAAATAACGGAGATATTAACTGATTTCGTTTACACCGTATATTTTTTGTTAGCGTATAGTTCACGTCAATGATGACCGCCACATCTTGGATCGCTTATCCAAGTCGCAAACTGCTTAAATTTCAGTTCTCAATACTGACAGGTAGGCGCCATCTCACGGTAACTTTTGAAAGTAGAGTCACAGAAGCCCTGTTGCTCATCTACTTCTGTCGCAGTAATCCCCCACTGTCTTTTGTTGCTGCCCCCTATAAAAATATGCTACCGTAAAGGGTACGTTTTAGAATAAAAAGTGTAAATGGAGAATATGGAGCTAGTATAAATGCCCAATCGCCTTAAAAATCGAAAATAGACAGCACATTATACAATTTGTTTTGATGAATTTAAATACCATAATTTAATTTGTGACAATTAATCCAAAAAATATTTGTTAATTTATCAATGCCAATATTGACATTTTTAGTCCTGCATGACTCATCCATGCAGATATGTGATTTAAAATGTCTTGAACCGACCCTGCTTTTTCCCCTTTACGCCCTTATCTTCGTTCACTTTTTTACTCGAGCAGCATAAAAAATAAAGGAGCAACAGATCGTTCTATTTCCATGGCTAAATAATGAAAATAAATCGGGAAACTGGAAAATTCAGTCTTCATCTTCTAGATCTTGATGGCACATATTTGTTTTCGAAAGCGTATTGTCTCTGAGACGATGTTTATCACTGTAGTTGAAAAAAAAAATAACGGAAAAGCATTGTAGCTGTTTTTCTTTCGCATTATCTTTGTTAATGGTTTCAAGTTCAGAGTGATGAACTTGATATTTCAATTTTGTTTTTTTTTGTATTATTTTCTGTTTAGAATCTAAATTTAACTAGTAGCAAACCAGATTTGACGATAAAAATGTAATAAAAATAAAAATTATATTCCTTATTTTTCACATACCATGCTATCAAAATCTATGAGTACATGTGTCACATTCTAGATATACAAAGGAGTAATTTGTAATATGATGAAAGACATATTTTATATTATTTAAATTATTTTTTAAAAAGTGTAATATACATTTTCTTTTTTTGGCTAGTATTATCAAATTGATTTTTGTTTACGAATCCTTTATGGTTAAGTTATTCTGTAATAATATACACATTACAACTATTTTCTTATTTTGACATTTTTAAGCTAGAATTAAAAGCTAAGTTGCCGTTAAAATACAATGTGTTAAAAAGTAAGCAGCATACCACTTAATAATAAGCTTATTTAACATCATAAAATGGTTTATAAAGGATAATTGTAACGACGAATAATAAGATCATTTATATATATAAAAAAACAGTATCGGGCCAAAACCGGCTTCTTGAGGTATACCTACTTAACATCCAAAAAAAATGTATTTACAGTAGTTCGGTGAAAATGTTCAAACGATGACATTTTTAAAATATCTATAAACATTGTTAAAAACAAAAGTTAGTACTTAATGTTTCAAAACCTAATCTTCCAAGTTACTCAACAATATTTTCAGACGCATTTTTTTGTAGATTTACTCATTAGAAACTTCTCAAACAGTGTTTCATTGCATTATCGAAATCCATCCATCCAAATAATTCATTCCCAAAACTCCAGAAATCTCTTTAATAATAAACTTCCAGATTTCAATCAACCCTTCTCCTAAAACAGATTTAAACCAGCCGAAAACTTCCGGAGTTATCATTAAAGTTCCGTCATCTATTTAGGAAAATTATCCCGTCATCTAAGACACTGCTAATCCCAAAAAAAAACTTTCCTCTCTGAGAAATCCTTTCCGACGACGGTTTCTTATCGGCCTTTTCTAATTTACTGAAAACTCAAAGAGAGCTACTGCTCAAAGCAGTGACGTACGTAAATTGAGGTACCGCGTCCGCTACAGCGAACATTTTAACCCCAGCCGACACAGATTATAATTAGAGATAGTTTTTAATTAGGATATAGGGTGAATCGTCATTGGAGACATTTATATTAATATTAATAATATTAATAATATTAATAATATTAATAATATTAATAATATTAATAATATTAATAATATTAATAATATTAATAATATTAATAATATTAATAATATTAATAATATTAATAATATTAATAATATTAATAATATTAATAATATTAATAATATTAATAATATTAATAATATTAATAATATTAATAATATTAATAATATTAATAATATTAATAATATTAATAATATTAATAATATTAATAATATTAATAATATTAATAATATTAATAATATTAATAATATTAATAATATTAATAATATTAATAATATTAATAATATTAATTAACTGAAGTGAAAAGGCAGTCCTTTAATCTGGAAAGCCTGGCAGTATATGCAGAATCTTAAGATATGGAAAATGCATTAACAAGAAATTCAGGACTGGCGGAAGTGGGAGCATAGATAGCTTAAGTAAACGAAGAGGTAAAAGTCCCAAATTCAACAACAAAAAGACCAGACAAAGAAAACGGCGGTCACATTATAAAAGAAAAATTAATTTTTAAAATAATACACGATTGACGACATTGACGACGTAGAAGTTCTTAAAAACACTCACAGTACAAAGAAAAGGACAAATAAATATTGCAACGCCAGTACCAGAGATACTGGAGCCAGTAGTAAAACGAAAGACGATTGAAATCAGGAATTAAGATACAGCTGTACAAAACTACGCAGAAGCCTAATCTGGAAACGTAAATAAGATGCAAAGAACAAAACACACACGAAAAAATATAGACAACACAGGTGTGATTATAATTAAATCAGGGAAGAAGCATTATCCGACCCTCTGAAAACAGTCAAAGAAAAGGTACAGAAGACAAACTCAGACCATGGAATAGAGTCAGTGAGACAAAGAAGGGACCGTAATCTTATGTTAAGAACAAATGGAGGACATATGGCGGCATACATGCTAAAAGAGACACTAGCAAAAGGGCTTCAAGAGAATGACATTGTAGTCAAGAAAGATACTAGCACAAGAATCATACACATTATGGGAATGGATGGTATAACAACAAAAGAAGTCATCGAAGCAGTTAAAACAGTGCTAAATACCAAGAAGAGTTTTATCGTCAGATTCTTAGACCAGTATATACCGAAACACAAAACACTACTACAGAAGTGCGACAGGAGGAGGTATCAAATCTTCTTTTGACCGGAAAAATACAAATCGGGTGGGTAAATTGCAGTATCCAAGAAACAATAAATCCGAAAAGATGGTTTAAATGCGAAGAACTCGACTATAACACCAGGGATTGCAAAGGGCCAAATAGAGCGAGAAACTGCCTTAGATGTTGGGAAACTGGACACATTTCCAAAGATTGCAAAGGAGAGGAATATTGCTACTCCTGCAAAAAGAAGAACATCGAATAGACGGAATGAAATGTATAGCCTATAGAAAATTATTATAGGATTACTAGATCCAAGCTAAGAATAGGCAGCACCTAATGAATACATTAATGGACAATACAAACAGAAACAACAACAAAAACACCTGCAGAGGACCATACCTAAAAATCCTGCAAGCAAATGTAATGAGATAGAGAGCGGCCCACGACGAAGCCTATGAAACAGCATCCGAAATGAACGTCGACATCATTATTTCTAGTGAACCAAATAAGAATCTGGTAAATCTTACGCCACTGCACATCTTTATACAAGGAGAAAGTAGGTCAGCTATTCGCAGGCTAATGCAGGGACAAAACCCAATAAGCGAACTACATAGCGCCGACCAGATAAGGCTATATCAGCAAATAAAAAGAGATAATATTCTAGCTATGCCTACTGACTTTCAAATTCAAATACCATCCCGAGAATCCTGGAAACTGGGACCTCCCGTACAGGCTGAACTTGTCTGGTACACAGACGGTTCAAAAACCAAGAAAGGAGCCAGTGCTGGAATATATGGACCCAAGTCGAAAACAACGATTTCGCTGATTTTATGAAAATATGCAACAGTGTTCTAGGCTGAGCTAATAGCCATACAACACTGTGCACGAGAAATATTAGTATCAGGCAAAACTATTGCCATAAACTCTGATAGCCAAGCAGCTCTAAAGGCAATTCTCTCACCAGAAATTAAATCACGACTGGTGAAAGACTATCTAGAAGACCTGACAGAGCTAAGTAGTCAAAATAAGGTGACCCTAGCCTGGGTTCCAGCCCATGAGGGATATCAGGGCAACGAAAAGGCCGACGAATTAGCCCGATAAGGCGCAGCTAAAGCCATGACAGGACCCAAACCCTTCTGTAGAGTTGCTAAGGCATTGTGCAAGGCATCCGTTAAACAATGGATGCAAAAAGAGTCTCAGGAATGGTGAAACAACTATCCAAGACTGAGACAGGCCAAACAGTTCATCAAGGAATCATCGGCCAAGTTCACAAAAGACCTACTGGATCAAAAGCGTCAAACCGTTAGGTAGGCCTTCTTACTGGACACTGTCGCCTCAAAAGGAACATGAGAATCATCAATCCAGCAGAAGAAGCAACTTTGTGCAGGTTCTGTGAAGAAAAAGAAAAAACATCATTCCACGTCCTGTGCCAATGTGAAGGCCTGGCTGGAATGAGGTTTCTAACATTGGGCGAAGAAAAGCCAAATGCATGCCACTACACGTAGGAGCCACTGTCAAAGCTACTAAGTCTAATAAAAAAGACCAGGCTAGACGACATACTCTAAAACAAACGGAGTCCCACAATCGATCTGAAAAGGTCGCGATGGACAAGGACAAATAACGTCCAACTCCTAATCTAATCTAAAAGGAAGAGAATGGCTAAACGATGAGAGGGTAGATGTAGCGGTATATATGAGAAACAAAAATATTGGCGTCCAAAAGGTCGAAGTTAAAACTGGATTTTTAATTACCTATCTAAAGGAATATCGAATATATTGCTGTTACATATCTAAAACTAAGGTAGATGATATTATACTAGTAGACTGCAGAAGACCAGGCATTGTATTGGGGGATATAAACGACAAATCTCCAGCATGATGATCTTCAACAAGTGACAAGAGGGGGAGTACTAGACGAAGTGGATGTCGACGATGACTCTTATAGTTTATAACACGGGGGAAAACCTACATTAGTTAGAGGCGACACCAAATTCTTCATGGACGTAACGTGTTCAATCCAACAAATTGCAAAAACTATAGTTGACTAAAAGTTTTAAATGTTAAAAGCCTAAGTAACCATGCTTTTATATATTTTTAAGTAAAATATAAAATTATCAGAAAAGAAAGTCCAAAATCACAATAAAGATAGATTGGTAAGCCTTCGGAACACTACTAAAATGTAAAATAGATGGAGAGAAAGCTGAAAAAACACCAGATACATAATCTATTATGCAAGAAATCTTCGAAAGCAGTCAAGTTAACAGAGGGCGTACGGAAGTAAATAGGATGCCCTACTGGTGGGACAGACAAATCTAGAAATAAAATAAAATACTGTAAGAGGTTGCGCAGAAAATCGACACGGATATCAAAAAGAAAGGAAATACCGAAAAATATAAGAGCACAGGCAAGGGAAGAGTACAAAGTATCAAGAAAAAAACTTGAAAGATCGACAGTAATTAAAAAAAAAAACTTTGGAAAGAATATCAAACTTGGGGTAGCCATGTGTGAGATATTGGATTAAAGGTGGAAAAAATAAAGAAAACAAGTCCTTTATATCCCACAAAGAAATGTGTATTTGACGGCGACCGGTTTCGAAGTTTGTTCACTTCATCATCAGGCACACTAAGTGGATAAGAGAAAAGAGGGAATTGATTAGTTTTAAGTTGTTAACAAAAATAAAAAAATTAAAAAATTAAAAATTAAAAATGATGGAATATTGATTTATTTTAAGTGAAATTAACAAAACTAATCTAGTAGTACTACCAATATTTATTTATTTATTTACACTAACAAAAAATTATTAATCAAATTAATGTACTAACTGAATGAAAAAGCCATAAATGAGTAAAAGGCAAAAAAAAGGAATTTTTTTTGTTAATTAATTCATTAATTAAATTAAGGTGATTTAAGTGATATTATGTTTGTTTCACTACGTTTTAGGGATATGTTGACGTGCGGTCATCTCTTTTTAGCTACAGACTTTCGAGAAAACTTCTCGCTCCACGGGCTCAGTTTTAAAAGGGCGCCACGAAGAGACGATTAGCTAGAGCACAGTAGCGTACCCAAAAATATAGAATAACACGTATGAAAACAATAAAATAAAATTAATATTTTTTATGTTATTTATTTTAAAATAATATGTTTCTATGAAATATAACTGGGTGTTTGTTTTAATACTATTATAAGTATTTTTAGAGGGTATTTATTAAGGATGCTTTGTATTTATTACAGATACTTTTATTATAAAAATAATATTACATTTTAGGCGATGTTGACATCGAGAATGATGATTGACAATTAATATGAAGTATGGCATTACATAGTTATAAATACGTTTGGCATTAAACAGTGTTTACTGCACAAATTAACCAATGGAGAAATCGCCCCTCAAATGATAATTGATGCGAAAAAGCATGTTTTGAACAAAAGTCGTTAAAAAATAATTACTGAAATACAAATTAACGATTTTCCAGCTAAAACTTACTTCGCTCCCAATTAGAAAAACATCAGTTCATCTTCAACGAATTCATCGATAAAATCGCGACGACTCGCGCTTCTATTATGAACTCCGATTAATCGACCGAATTTTTTCATCTCCACGAAAAAAGTCTCATCAAGACTATCAAGACGAAAACAACCAGCAACTCTCTCGAATTACTCCAGTTATTTTCGTTGGGTTGTTCGCATAATTAAAAAATTCCAACAGCTTATTATTTTTTTTTTCGTCCCGCTCTCTCCCGGCGAGGCCGTACCTGATGCACGAACGAAAATTTTCAAAATTAAAAATTCCGACCGACCAATTTCGAATTCGCAATTTAATTGAAAAGCGATAGATGCGAACGATAAAATAACCTTTTTGTCCTCGCAGAAGCATGGATAATAATATACAGGGTGATTTATTAGTAGGAAAAAGTATATTATCTGCGTCACTATTAGATACCTACATAAAAATCATACTCACAGAATTAAACTACACGTTGTTATTACATAAAATTTTGAAAGGTGTATTCTATCTTTATTTTAAGTCTTTTTATTTTTGTTATTTACGTACCCCGACTAACTTTCTATCGTAAATAACTTCATAACATCAGGGTGGTTCATTGATTTCAAATTGATTATTTAAATTGTCACTATTTCTTTTACATTTAGATTCTCATCTATTATTTTAATTTGGTGTCATCGACATCAACTATTTAGGTTATTCGCCTCATAGGTTCTGTTACTATTTTCCATCGCCACTTTAGGAACCGCACTGTTAGTTACAATTTGAATTTCTTGTTTTAAAAAGTATTTATTTATAAAAATTTTAAAAGCAATTTAAAAAAAAACGTTAACAAACTATTCTGTTGACAATATAAGCAACTACGGGACCATTTGCGGCAACCACTTTTCATCCTAGGCCATACAAAACGTTCTGAGATGAGTTTCACCGTAGCGCGCATACCCGGATGAGATAACTGATGAAGCGAGATAACTAAATGTTTTTGTATTGACCGTCGACTAGTAGCTGTTGAAATATCACAAAATATGGGACAATTTACGTTAGGAATTTTTATTATTTTTAACTGTAACTCGCCCTTATTAGTTAAAAAAGTTTTAATTTCATCATCGTCTTTTTGTGACTCGGCTAATACCTCGAAATCCACCGCACTTGTAAATTCGTTTATTCGCGAAAGAGCGTCTGCAACGACATTGTCTTTACCGGATATATGGCGAATATTAGTAGGAAACTGTCCGATGAACTCGAGGTACCGAAATTGTCGCGGCGTACACTTATCCGGTTTTTGCTGGAAAGCAAAAGTCAAAGGTTTGTGGTCAGAAAAAATGCAAAATGTTCTACCTTCTACCATGTGCCATATAAATTCCTAAGAGTTCTCTATCATAGGCACCATACTTTTGCTGCGGTTTTGTCAATTTCTCAGAGAAAAATGCCAAAAGTTGCCATCCATTTCCGCAATCTTGTTGAAGAACTGCCCCAACGGTAAAATCGGAGGCATCAGTTACAATAGCTAGTGTTGCTTCAGCTTTTGGATGTGCTATAGTCTATTTTAATGTATGAGAGAGTATTAAAATAATAAAGCGTTCGTAATCCATAGTAGACAGTTAAAATATTTTTTGAAGTTATTTCTCGAGTATACACCTATATTTTCACCTAATTAACCTGTTTATAACTTCTAAACAGCTGAAGGTAAAAAAGTGCAATTTTTTCTAAAATGTTTTATTTTTCCACAAGGTATGTAAAGGACATTGTGTCAAACGGGTT